AACAATTGCCGTTATTTGGAAATATGAGCACATCATCCATTCGACTTTTAACATTTAATTTATCCGTTGTTGCCGGGATCAGAAGCTTTCTAATAATCGAACGTTTTTGATTAATACTAAAGACGTTTAATTTTGAACTCCATACCTCCTACAACCCCGAAGTTTCGTTCCCTACAAAAAAAATTCGGAAAATAATCAGGAGCCGCTGAAACGTCAAAAAACGAAGTTTAAGCGATTTTGATTTTTTTCGTGTTTTTGCCCCTAGACCGAATTTAAAAACCTTTTCATCCTTGACATAGTAGCAACCTTGCATAAAAATTTCATCAAAATCCGGGCAGTACTTTTCAAATTAGAGGCGGACAGACAGACCGACAGACGGAAAAAACATGAATTTCAAATTTTTCACGATTTCAATACTTCTTCGCCAGTTTTGGCACAGTGAGTATAAACGAAGTATCATTTGGAAGACAGATAAATAAAATATATTGCCAAAAGTCTCAATTGTATCTGAAAAAGAAGACCGAAACGCCCAACAATAAAGAAAAGTTTAAACATACATATAATTACGTGGTTTAATTCGGCCAGAGAAACTTGTGACATTATCAGCATGTAAACCACATGACAAGTTCCCAATATTACATCAAAAAATCATCTCGTTAACCACTTGACACATTTTGCGGTCAAGCAACCCTGGTGTTGTTTTTCATCAGCAACGCCTTTAAAAAGGTAAACTCATCCATCCGGTCACCGAGCGATCGCATTTTTTTCAACGAGTAAAATAAACAAAAAGCTCCGGTCTGCCTCCACTTGAATCCTCGCTGAAAAAGCGTGTTTCATATTTGTACAAGCTGGAGTAAAAAGTGGCATGGGTCTTCGCGTTGGGTCTGTGCGAGGTGCGTGTGAACCCGCTATCGATTCCGAAAAACACGCAGCAGTCACGCGAGCAGTAGCAGCTCTTTTCCTATTCGTTCTTGCGTCAACCCACTCTAAAAAACATTTTGAAGCTAGCTTGCCAAACAGAGATTTTGCGATTTATTGATGTAACTGCGCACAGTGGGACGAATTTTGCGGACAAAAGTCTTAAAGTCGGATTTTGTTGTTTTTTAGATGTCACTAACCTTATAGCTGCCTATAACTTGAGAAGTACTGCTCGGATTTTGATGACATTCTCACACAAGGTTACTACTATGCCAAGGACGAAAAAGCTTTGTAGTTTTTGAAATTCGGTCTATTGGTGGCGGAAAAAAGACCTAAAACGAAAAAAATATCTCAAACCTCGTTTTTTTTGACGTTTTAGATTGTCCTAATCATTTTTAGGAAAATTTTTGTAATTGTTGAAATTTGGATGTTGAGTTTTTGTGGGCGGTGGAGGAGGGTATAGGAGTTTTTTTTATCTTAGTATTACGCTCCCAGTCCCCGCACCTACTATCCATATTTACATCATAGATTTACCCGTCCCCGTTTGTCCTCAAAGCTTGGAATGATAGAAAAATGTTTTCGATCCGCGTACTCGTGTCTATTAAAGCGAATCGCCTAGCGAACCAATCCGGCTCATACACGTATTCGTACTGAAGCCCAAAAAACATACGGATCTAGCACGAACCGCTACAGAGATGCCGCGCAGATGTGGATAGGGACAACGTTGCCACGTAGTCGGTAACTACCAGCGGGGCAGGGAGAGAATGTCTATGGACTAATTGTATGGTCCTGTTTGACTCACTTAATACATTTAATTTTTCTGTTCTACATGTCCGTAACTCCCATTTTTTCCATTACATAGGGCAAAGCCAATATGCCTTAAGTATTTTCAACCCTTATTTTATTTAAATTGCTGGAACTTCCGCTATTTGAATGTCTAGCCTTCGACGATTTTCAATGATTAAATAAAGTTTCGAATACTCCAACACAGTAAACTCATGCTTCCTCTGATGAATGATGAGTTGCGCTGTCAGCGGTTGGTCGTGGTAACAGAGATGGGAAGCAAACATGTTCATTTCAATGGTGTCTTTTCATGCATATATGAATAAAAAGGATTTTGGTCTGCTCAGTGTATACTTGGTATTCCGGCTGCTACGAGAGCCACTAGAAAAGAAATCTACATAGCTGTGAAAAAAAAACATTTGAAACGCACACACAATAGTGCATGTGTCCTAAGCAGACTTGCGAAATTTGAGTTAATTTTCCAAGTTTCCAATTTATAAAGTGAGTTGTGTGGAAAGATTAAAATTAAAGTATCGCAGTGTCATGAAATTTCTGACAAATAAATCCCAGAATTGGAAGACCCAAAGTAGCAACAAATGATGACTTAAAAAGCTGAAGCTATGTTCTCGAAGATCGACGTGCGAAGGTTAATACCATTCATATGAAATTAAATATATCGGAACGCACAAATTTGAGCATCAGACCAGATGGATTCCATGACCGTTAACACCTGAACAAAAATTGGGAAAATTGGACATTTCGGAAAGTCATTTGGAAACTTTGGCCAACGATCGGACTTGGGCGCACCATTGAGGTCCTGAGACAAAACAGAATCTAAGAAGTGGGGTCATAGAGGGTCTCTACCCTCCAAAAGGGCACGAACGCAGCCCTTTGTTGGAAAATTGATAGCATCGGGACATCAGGGGCATTTTTCTCATCAAATATATGCCAAAAAGTAAATTAATAAATGCGGACGTCTAACTATCCGAACACGGTGAAAAATTTATGTAAAGTAATCAATCGATTTTTTTGAATCGAGAATTGTTTCTGCTGCATGATAATATGACAGCGCATAAAGCTTCCAAACTTATAGCAATTGTGAAGGAATGTAGCTTCATTGAGATCGACCATCCTGTTTACAGTCCGGATTTCATTTGATTGTTACCTATTTGAATTCTTTTGCTTCTGATGCCATGTGCAATGCTGCACGCTGGTGATAAATTGTGCACTTCTCTTCAATGGCTACAGAATGATCAAGGTTCGTTCGCCTGCTTGTCGTAAAAAAGTTGCTGCATCGGGTACACCACACCGGTTTCTTATATTTCTCAATCATGAGAGTTTTTCCCTCTATTTTCCCTTGTAGAATTCACTTAGGTATTGTGTACCGGGATCACCTTCTACACCACATCTTCTTAAGACTTCTTCTCTTTTCTTTCTCTTTTCGAGGGCACCGTTTTAACTTAGATGGCCAGAAACCAGCCGTCGACGACTTTTTTGAGAGTCAAGCGGAATAAAATAAGGGTATAGGTTCACTGGAGGAGAAACGGTGTAAGTGCATGGATGTAGGGGAATTAGATTTCCTTCCTAGTACCTCGTAGGTCTACGGTTTCGGTGGTGCGACATTTATTTGTGCATTGTCCAGAACGTTGAGCAGTCATGAGCTGGTAGCGTAGGGGTCTTCCGTCATTTTTCATGGTACGGGATGATTGGTAGATGGAGGTCGTCAGATTTTTCGCTTACCTCCGCACGGCTTTGTGTAGTTTAAAGTCTGAGCTGACAGAGCGATATGGCCTAGTAATACTAATATAAGAGTAATAATTTCTTTGACAAAAATACAGCTTTCCTACAATTTGTTGTCAGTACAGGAACAACAATAACAAATCTGCGACGAAAGAGGAACGTTGTGTGCGGCAATAATCCTGTCTTTGTCATTTGCAGTCCTGGTCGTCATTCATGCGCTGGAGGCTTCATATCCCTTGTAAGTATTACTAGAGGAGTAAAAGATATTAAAAACAAAATAAATATAAAAATAACAATACAACTATACGAAAATTATCACGGCTGGTGACTATACCTAAGTTTTACAAAGAGGCATACATGTATACAACGTTTACCCATAGGTTTTTTATATAGTCCAATATGTTGTATAGATTTGTGAGCGATAGTCATTTCATTGTACAGCTTGGAGGATAGATGAACTCAAGAGCATTGTAATATTATTTTCCGACTTGGATACTATTTGATGCAGAGTCGCTTTCTGGTGGATTTCATATTTATGGATCATTTTTTCAAAATAAGTCTTACTCAAGAACACCATGGAGCTATAGATGAAAATCTGTCGTATGTCCATCATTCCGGCCTTTTCAATAATTCGTCAAATGGACGAGTTCTCTTTTTGCTAAAAATAATCTGTAATATTCATTTTTGATTACTTCTAAGTTTCTTAAACATGTTATTGCCGCTCCTGCTCAACCAATTACTCCGTAGCAAAGATGTAGCCCAAACACATTTGGTAGATCTTTATTTGTTACATATCGCCTGTGGCCTGCTACAGTATGTTACTCATTACCCTCTTTTAACTATAGTGCAATATACCGAACGGCAGAGCTTTTAAAACCTCCTCCTCCTTTTTCTATCCAGCGTTCCCTCCTAGAGAGCTTTCCAGAGCGTTTAAGTGTCGAAACGGACTCTTAAAATCTCCTATTTTTTTCATTTCTTAGGTAATAAACGTTTCGTTCCGTGTTAGCTGCCGTTGTAGCGATACAAACCTGCAAGTTCCTATTAAGAAAATTGCATATGGCACGTCTCCTTGCTGGAAGGCTCGACGCCGTGGCGTGTACGGATAAATAGAAGTTTGGTCACGGTAACCGGATACTTCATACAGTGATTGAGGATATACATGGCGATTCATATAATCATATTAAATATTTGCGATCAGGCTTATATTTTCATTATAAAGTCAAACTCGACAAGCTGTTGAGAATCTTCTCGTCATCTCGCTCTAGGCAGAATGAATAGATTAAGCCAGCTCTTACTTAGGAAGACAAAAACCACTTTATCGATATGGTTGCATAGTTGATCGTTTTTTGTCCCAACCTCAACAAATATGTACCTAAAGAATCTTTGTAATTGATTCATCATTACAGGCAGCAGCGGTGGCCGCAGTAGTAGACTCTTCGGTCTCCAGTGGCCGTGCGCCGTGCGGGTTCGAATCCCGTCCCAAGAGGAAATTTTCTCTTGGCTATGGATATCGTGGTTGTCCGTAGGTGGTAGACGGTCTGTGACTGTCGAACGCGGAGGTACCATCCGGCGGATCTCGTAGGCGGGGCCAGAAGGTGTTCATGTTGCATGCACACGTGTTCCCTCGCCAGAGTCCGTGTGGCGTTCCCCTGTATCCGCATAGCCCCACGGTACCCCATGGGTGTTTAGGCGTTAGGCCTTCGTGGTGGTTGGAGTATAAAAAAAAATACTGGTGGCACCTCAAATGTCATAGAGTATGTTACCGCAAGTGTGATTAAGGTGATTATGTCTGGCTAATGGAGAGATTGGACCTGTAACTTAAATTCCTATCCCCTGATTTGCTAAGTCAGATGAATCAGACATCATATTTACCAGTTAAGGTAACTAGGTAACATCAAAACAGTGTACTTCAGGTGTGCCATACTCATCCTAACATACTATATATGTACGGTTGTTTTCCTGGAGGGTATGCTCTTTCCATGAAACTCAATGGCATGTGAGGGTATCCAAGGAAACTTGCTACCCAATTGGGAGAAGATCTAAAGCCGCCCAAAGAAATTGTCCAACCCTATGAAACAATGGGAGAGTTCTCTAGGTGATCTAAGGAATTCCGAGTCGGTCCAAGAATAGCCTCACGGCTTTCGCGGATGTTAGGGCCTCAGGCCTGCAAGGTGGCTCAAGCATAACAAAGAAGATTTTATGTTTAGTCCCGAGAGGTCCAAAGGAATTTGACAAGACTCAGGAATGTTTAATGAGATTTGAGGATATGAAGATCTGAAGAAACCTGCACAGAACGGACCTTTTGTTCCAATAAAGTTTCACTGCTCAGGCGAGTTAAGGAGGGCCTTTTCGGCCTTGCTAAGAGAAAATTGCTGTGTAAATTATGTCAAAATACACACACCTTTCTTACAATACATGAATTTGGCGCAACGAGTTGAACCCAAACGACGTCTACCGTACAAACATAGTAATAAATCATAAGCAGCTACTGGGGAGTCTTTCTTTTCATTTTGCAGCCTAGTAATGCACAGAAACCCCCTAGCGTAAGCGGAAACAGCAGCAGCAGCGGCATGGTAAAACATACTGGAGTCCTGACTAATTACAAATTTGCGTTTGCTCCGGTCGGCGTGCCAAGCCGGTGGGTGGTTGTTGGTAGGTTGGCAAATATTGAACTGCTGCAATGGGATGACCAACGTTATTTTACCTCCCACAAATAGTAGGAAGAGGTTTCGGTTAATTTTTGCGGTCATTCATCGTACAAAAATATTGATACTATACCCCATTAGTAGTCCATTTACGCCCAGACAAAACACAACATGCCCAAAAGCGAGACTGTACAGGTCCGTATTTGCCTCAATGGTCCTGGAATAATCTAACAAAATAAATGAATATCTTTATATTAAGAAGTTCACATACTTTTTTATTTCGATGGTCTCTTGAACGTGACGGATGCAATTTTTCAATGGTTTGCCATCACTCTGTTGACAGCTTCATAAAACAAATTTTTCACGTCAGATAATTTGAATGATCTATTGTTTGAAGCCACATAGTTTTTTATATTTGCCCAAATCATTTCAATGGGATTTCATTCGCAGTCAGTAACATTCAGATTACATTCATATGTGTGCTAGATGGATAAGATCTGCTTTGATCATATTTGCATAGAAACTAATGTCTTTTGATAGGAGCCATTGTTGAATTTTTGCCTTTCTTGTGGACATTGTGGGCATTTTTTCTAGTTTTCTGGTGTGGTTTGCAAGTACAATGACGGCATTCTAGTCAAGCTTTGGGAGCGTTTCTTCAAACCATCGTTCAAATAAACTCCCATCCATTTCGTCATAGTAGTCGTTTTCTTTGACTCAGATGCTCATAGGGCAGTGGGCACAAAGCCATCTTAACTGACAATGTGACATATAACAAATCGCTTCCCTTTTCCTGGAAATAATTATTTCATAAAGTATTCAAGAAAACTAATAATAATACAAGCAGAGTATCTACCAGATATAGCTAAGTTTAGTGTAGCTAAATTTCCAGCGTGGGCTCATACATTCAGTCTACTTGACACCATTTTTTCAACACATGACGAATTGGTTAGATAAACGTACCTGATGAATTCTTTAGGCCAGTGGTTAGTTCATCTAAGAAGGCTTGTCTTGCTGACTTAGTGGTAGAGTCAGCCCATACTTTAGATTTTGTATGTCCTGCATTTATCCAGGTTTCATCCAAGTAATAAATCATTCTGCCCTGGTCGCGGCATTTCTTTAGTGATTTTAAATTATTTCTTCTCCATAAAATAATCTCTTGGCTGTCCATCAAAATACTATTTCTTCCCCTATAGTATGTGGTCCTTTTGAAAGTAGGTAAGTCTTCATCACTATTAACCTCCTGTAATACTTTGTCTATGGTGGGAAGTTCCTACCTTTCAAAAAAACTGATGGACTTTGCGTCTGAAGGCATTCCGATCAAGGTTATCAACTGTACTCAACTTCTCAGTGTAATGCAATCTTGTGTGGTGGAGACAATTTTTTGTTTTTTTATATTCTTTAACAATGTTGAAAATTGTCTTAGGACATAAGCCTGTATTGTTCGCAACACGTCTTTCAATGACATGAATTTTTATTTCAGGATGCTCGAAAGTTTCGCTCTTGTAAACATTAAGGACAATTTATTTTGCCTGAATATTCAAATGTAGTTTATTGTCACGTTTTCGGGGATGAGAGAAAGTATGGCTGAAGGAAGCATTGGGATAATTATTTTTTGTTTCATCTGCTGTATTTGTAGACGAAATGCTAACGTATAAACACAAGCTATGTATGCACCGAATATAAACAGCAACTGCCGGCGTCGGCGTGCCGGCGATACCCGGAGCCTGAGTTCTATCCGGTCGAATCCTGCTCTTGTTTATAGTATGGCCGAATGACCAATAGTTATTGCAACGCTTAGGCAGCGCTTTGTTGTGCCGGGGCGTGAATAGACTACGAATAGGATATAAACACTATGACAACCCACAACCTGTGTCAAGAGACATACTGGTTCGATTCCCACATAACATAAATTTTATAGTCTTGGCTGATGGGATCGTATCGTACACACTTGCATGCACTCGAAATCATACGTAGGGCAAGGCATACGTTTTGTCCTATGAAAGTACTGTTTATTAGTTATTGAAATTATTTATACCCTATTCCGTCATATGCAAGAGCCAAGTATCAAACAACGTCTCCCAGCTCTCCTTCGGATGCAAATCTGCGCACATTTTGATGTTACTTCGCAAACAAAAAAGGCAAAATCACATAGTGCCAAGTAGGGTTATAAAGTGGATAATCCGATACTTGGATTCCGGATTCTTCAAAAAAAAAAAAACTGTTGAGCTGTCTGAACACGATGCGCCAGTGCATTGTCAATGTGAACTTACCGCAAGCGCAGCAAATTTTTCACTGATGCAAATAGTTGCTGCAAACAATCTTCGGTGTACCATTTAGTTGTGACTGACTTCTGCGTACCAAGCGCAATGTTTGCGACTAAGTCTGATTTTATGAAAAGAGACACGATTATTCTTTTTCTAATAGATCACAACTTTTTGACTTGAACAGGCTGATCTTAATTTTCAAAAATCCAGACCGGGATTTGTCCTTTGGTTGGATCATCAAAAATTTATAGCATGCATATATCATCTCTTGATGACACTTAAGAACGGTTTGTTTGCCTTCTTCATCTCGCCATCACATTTTTAGTAGATAGACCACGGTGAAAGTTATGGCACGGTACGCATCAGTCGAAAAAAATTAAACTCGTCATAGGACCAAGTTTATGCCTTGATCTACGTGTCAGCTCATGCATACAGCAACTTTATTTATCATAATATAGTCTTTAATCGAAAGACATTAAAATTGGTCTAGTCTACTGAAGTTCTAATAATTTGTGAATAAGACTGATTTAAAGAAATTATACGGCATTATTGATCCTTATTATAATGACTATCACTTTCAGTGCGTCATACCACATTCATACCATGAACCGATTCCTACAGAAAGAATGGAACACGCGTGATCTTTGAACTTTCCGGTATTAACTCTCTGTAAAGAAGAAAATCCCTGCTGTTATCAGAACGATCTCTTGGAGTTTTCATGCACGGGAGAAGCTCACGGCATTATTCTTGCCCGCTCTCGTCCCTTTGAGAGTTGAGTTGAGACGAATATTTCAATTTAAAAAACGTCACAATTCAAATATAAGCGACGAGATAAGATAAGCGCACTTCCATAGCCACCGGTGTGCATCGTATAGTCATGGGAGATTCTATAATTCTAGGAAGGTTGCAACTTTGACATAGTCCGTCTCTCCTGGTAGCACGCTGACTCTTAGTATTCCAAGTGATTGACAAGTCGGCTGCTACGGTTGACCACACCTTCCGTTTCTCAAACAAACTATCTTCTAGATATGTCACAGTGTTTAGAGGTTTTTCTGCATCTTCGATGTGATGGTCCGATATATCCGTTTTGGCCCACACTGGGTGGACGTAGTCAGTCACTTGCTAGAAGTTATGATTATACAACAAGCGTACATCGCTTTCTTTCTTGAGAAAGGTATTAACCTCGATAGGCTCTATTTTGAAAAGAAGTGCTAGAACAACTGATACATGGTGGACTTAGTTCTACTACCTTTCGGATAACTATACTAAGTGACATATAAATCCGAACACCCAGTTTAAATGGTTTTTGTATAAGTACTTAATGAAGCATAATAAGTAAATGATAAAAATTTCAAAATGATTGCACTGCTTTAAAGCCCTTTGACCTTTAATAATGTGTGGATGCACCCTGATGTGCTACGCATTCCCCAACGCGCCTAGGCATGCTTCTGATCAGGTGGTCAATGTCCTCCTGTGGTATCTCATTCCAGGCAACCACCAACTCCTCTCGAAGTGCTTCTAGAGTCTGAGGAGGACGTTGCAAATTGAGCAATCTCCTACCCATCATATCCCACACGTGCTCAATTGGGGATAAGTCGGGAGATCTTGGTGGCTATGGTAACAATGTGACATCATTATGTTGAAAGAAGTCTATTGTGACTCTCGCAACATGTGGTCGGGCATTATCTTGTTGGAAAGTTGGATCTACCAGAGTGTCAAGATAGGGTAAAAGATGGGGTTCTAGAACTTCGTGGATATAACGCTGTGCGTTCATGTTACCTCTGATGAA